AAAACTTGAACAAGAAATGAATATGTACCCTGTCCTTGAACAGAAGATTGAACCTCGAGTAGATGCAATACAATCCAGTATCAGTGAAAGTACCAACAGGATGGGGAAGGGTAGCTTGATAAGCAGATTTTAAGTTTTATGGAAAAATAAACAAGCAAGAGCCCTGGTTGGTGTGGCTCAGCAGATTGAGCAACGGCCTGTGAACCAAAGGGTCACTGGTTCGATTCCCAGTGATGGAAACTGCCTGGGTTGTTGGCTGGGTTCCTGGTTGGGGACGCAAGAGGCAGCCGTTTCATGTTTCTCTCCCTCTTTCTCTCCCTCCCTTCAGCTCTCTCTAAAAATATATGAAACAAAATCCTTAGAGAAAAAGAAAAATAAGAATATTCAGGAAAACACTGGGAAGTAGCATGGGAGAGGACTATGATCGAATAACAAACTCATTGGATAAGAAATCAATGAAACAGAGTGAAAGTCCAATAGAACCCAAAATTAGATTTAAGAACTAAATATACCGATAGACAACGTTTCAGTGCAGTGATAACTGGACAGCCACCTGGAAGAAAAGTAAAGTGGGATTCCTACACCTCGGTACTGGACACAGTTATATTTTGTATGGATCCGTGTATTTAACTTAAAAATCAAGTTAATAAAAATACCTAGAAAAAAACAAGAATTTTCATTTTCATTTTAGTCAGAAATAATGTTGAAATTGGGAAGACTTTTCTATGACACGAAAATCCAAAAAGGACTGAGAATTACAACTATAACATTTTCCCTCCTGCTACAAACATATACTATTAAACAAAGTCAACAGCCAAATGCCAAACTGTGAAAAGTATCTGCAACATATATCAAAGACAGAACACCAATTTCCTAAAAACAGAGTTCCTATGAACAGTATCAAACATACCAATAGAAAAATGAACAAAAAATATGTAACCACATGAATAAAAAACAATCAGATGCTATAAATAAAGGAAACAAATATGCTTCTTATACCTCCTGAAAAGGTGGGAAAATATACCTACTACACTGAGTATTTTTAAGTTTGATAACCCACTCTGTTATCGGGGTATGGGCAGCCAGCACTCCAACACCAATAGTGGGACATAAACTGGTACAACCTCTGTGGAGGGCAATTTGACGATATCTATCAAAATGTAAATAGTACATATCCTCTGACCTGCAATTGTACTTCTCGGAATGTATCACTCAATGTGCAAAGTTATAGATGCACAGGGATATATGCTGATCACCATTTGCATTAGCACGACTAGAAACATTTTAAGTGACCAGCCAAACAAAGAAATGGTACCTCCCTCTCATCCACTACCCTGCATCTTTCTGAAAAGGATACACAAAAAAAATGTATCATCGGTTGCTTCTAGGGAAGGAAGTCAATTAGCAGAGGTCAAAGGTAGAAGGAAAACTTGCTTTTTATCATATGCTGTTTTGTACCATTTGGATTTTATATCATGAACATGTATAACATTTTTAAACTTTCAGATTTCGGTATTATTTTTACCCAGCTTTACCAACTGTTATAAGTATTTCCCTCTTTTTCTGTCAGTTTTCCAGTTTCTACATTAGCAACAATGTTTTGTTTTCCCAGCTAATACTCTTACATGGTATTTAATAAAACCCAGAGTTAATCACAGCCTTAACTTGGATTCCATTATCCCCCTGATCGTCTTGCCCCTGGCCCTACCTCTGCATACCTTCTCCACAAAAAGCACTGTTCTCTATTCTTTATGGTTTGAGTGGAGATTATGAGTTCGTAAAAGTCCAGGACCTCGAAGCTATGAATTTCTTGGCCTATGGGACAAACAGTCAGTACTGTATTTTAGGAGGCAGCAAAAAGGCAAGAAGCTGTTCAAACAAAGTTTCACAAAAAATCATTCGTGCTGTCACCATGGAGGGTCTAGTCCACTGCTTTTATGTTTAAGAACTTGATTTTATCCATTTGTCCAGGGTCAGCGGGGCCTATGAGGAGAATGAACAGCACTAACCAAATCAAATTCACAAGAAACTACCTGCTTACACATAATGACAATGTATTAATTTAGAATTTAAGAATATATGTACATGAATATAAGTAGTTTTGTGTGTGTGTGTGTGTGTGTGTGTGTGTGTATAAAGAATACCAATTCATGTATAACAAGGACTCACACACAAATGGTAAGTATGCCCAGGACAGCCACACAGTGTTACGAGTGTGTATAGAGAAAAGAGAACAAATCGGAAGGTCAGAGAAGGCTCCTCTGAAAAATACAATGTGACCAAGCTGAGATCCAACAGATGAAAACTTTAAAAACAAGAGAGCGGAATTATGAGGAAGAGGGTTCCTGGATATTGGGATGGCATGTGCAATGGTCCTGAGGCAGAAGGGAGCATGATATGTCCAAGGAGGTGGGAAAAGATCAAAGGACAAGACCATATGACACAGGCTTAACTAGAGCACTAACTACAAACCATGTGGTGCGTGGTAGGCCATATTAAGAATTTTTGTCTTATCCTAAGCAGTGGAAAGCTAGCAAAGGATTATTAACTCAGATGAGAACAAACCTGTGCTTGCAAAAGGTCAGCATGCTATATGAATTGCAGGCAAGAGCAGAAACAGGAAGACTGCCTAGGAAGCTACTGTAGGAGACGCATGTGACAGATGATGGCAGCACGGACTGGAGTTGGGACAGAAATAAAATGAATAGGGCTCGGTGACCGGTTACACCTGAAATGCAAGAGAAAAGAAAATGCGAAGGAGGATACCCAAGTTTTGAATTTCCATAACTGCATGGAAAGAGAGAGAATGCTCCAGGAAGACCAGGCTGTTTTGTTTCCCTGCGGGCTGGATAGAAGAAGGTAGGTGTATAAAAAGCAGGAAAGGGATATGGGTACCCAGTATCTGGAAACCTTGGTAGAAAAAGATGAAAAAATGGAAAATGGCATTAGAGTTCAAAGGAAAGAGAATGTAAACTACAAAAACTTAAATATGTATTCATGTATGTATGTATTACCTCCAGGGTCAGCCATAAAACCAGCCTAGACATTTCTCTCTCCCCATCACCTAAAATCTTTTTCAACGTCTCAAGATAAAACCTTTCAGTAAAGAGAGAGGAGAAGCCCAAATGCAACATTTAGGAAAATAAAGCACTGGTGTGAAAGAATTTCAAAGTATATACTGAGATGTCAGATGTTCCCAATTCTGAGAATGAAGAAAAGACAGAAGCTGCCTATTTGGGGAAGGAAGAATGAGGAGAAGAAAGCTGAAAGGAGAGGTTGATGACCCCACAGCATGAATTCTCACATTTTAACACGTTTATCTTTACCTCTGGACAAATGGCTGTTCTTGGCCTAGTGTGCTAAGGGAATGCAGAAATAATAGCTCCACACCAAGGCCCCAGATCAGAAATCATGGCTTCCACTGCCATCAGCTGGTGGCAGAGAGGAAATGCACCAACCTGGTTCTTGGAGCCTGGAAATGCCTCTATGAAGCCCAAGGTGTAAGTCATCTAAGATTCAAGACCTAAAGATTGCAGTAGTAAAGGGCAAGCTGGTGATAGCCTTTGGTAAGAAATTTTTCTTCTAGTCTGTCCATACACCAAAATATACGTTTCTGCTATTAATTTGGGGTAAGAAAAAAAGACTTTTTTCTTTTTCATGTTACAGGTCACTTACTATTTACCAATTGTAAAATATCCAGTCTGATACTATCCTCTCAAAACCAACTCCTGGTATATTATACATTTGACTACTTAAAACTGCTTCAGTGTGAATTTCAATGGCGCATAAAAGGGATTCGTGTGCATTTCTAGCATACTTCAGTAACCTTGTCACAAATATAAGAAATTGTCTCACTGATTGTGCAAAATTCCCTTTGTTATCTTCAGATGAATCAAATAACAATTTTTGACTACTTAGAAGTACAAGGCACAGTAATAAACACAATTCAAAAACCATCATGTTCTCAAAACTCATCAGCTAAACAAATATATTACTGATAAAATCAACTTCAACATTATTCACAAAAAAAACATGGTGAATGATTAACACATCATCCTGGTAGTTCTCTTCATGGTAAAAATAAGCTTTCCCAACTAATATTGACATTCTGTGCATTATTTACTTCCCTACCTTCTTTACTACACTGAATATTCACTTACAAATGTATATCTTTACGATTGTCTGCACATACGTTTCCATTTGATTTGTCTTTGTTTTTTAAGGCAACTCGAAGGATAGGGAACTGTGGGCCGAAACATAAAATAGTCACATGGGGTACATTTTTTTCCAATTCTTAACCGGCTTTTCTTTCTTTCTTTTTTTTTAGAGTAGACACAGTATAATTTTGTCAGTATATTCTTGATTTTTGTTTTCTCCCCTTCAAATGCAGTCACAGTACCCGTTCTGTCTCTGGACATTGCAAAATATGAATAATTCGACTTGTTTTCCCTAATTCTCTTGGTTCTGTTTTCCCACCCACCTTCCAACAAACCCCCACCCCAATCCTTTCTTGTTTCAAAATGCCTATTACACACTCGAGGTGATTTTTACAAAATCGCTTTTTTGGAATGCTCTTCCCTCTTCTCTCCTTAAATGAGTACCCTTTGAAAAATAATTTCCACAGCTAGACGCCAGTGTCTTTTTTTTTTTTTTTCCTTAACAAGATCAAACTGCGGAAAAGGAAGAGACTAGGAACCGAGTAAGCGAAACATTCGGGAATGTCAGTGAGACAGGGGGCTCTCCTCTGAACAGAAAACACAACTCTCAGCACAAAGCTTGCAGCAGAGTAAAAATACTTTCTTTTCCGTTGTGTTCCTGTTCCCTCCCTGACCTAAAAGACACCTTTCCTTTTCTCAAAGCCCCAGTCCCTTTGCGATATGTGGGGCCTGCCTCTCCTCCTCTGAAGGAAAAGAAAGCCAGGGAGAAAAGAAAAGGTAACAGTCACCTTCCCGCCGTGCCCGCAAGCTGTCAGGAGCCCCGGACCACGTCCCACGACTCACCTGGCAGGTGCGGCCGTCCGGAGAGTTGCACGAAGCGGTTCAGCTGGCCAGTCCCCCGACCCCCGCTGCCCCCACTGCCCCCGCCGGCCCCGCTACCTCCGCCGCCACCACTACTTCCCGCGGCTCCTCCTCCCCTCCGGCGGTTCCTGTCCCAGCCCTGGGCGGCCGACATGACCCGCTAACGACTGCCGCAGCCCGGTCCCGGCAGCCCCCGGCCCGGCCGCACTAGCCGAGCCTCCTTCCTGGGCTCCTCTTGAGACCCGGGAGACAGGGGAAGGGGGAGCGCCCGGTCTTCACCGCCGACCAATGACTGGGTGACTTTGTGACAGGCAGCCAATAACCAGTTGCCTTCTTGGCAGGTGGCGGGAGGCGGGGAGAGACGTGGTAACCATAGCTATGGTTTAAAAAAAGTGGTGGGTAGAGTAAGGCAGAAGCAGCCACTCCTCACTCGCATCCTCCGAGCTTAGCCAGCCGGCGTCGCGACGCCTGCTGCAGGAGCAGGCGAGCCAATCGAAGGCCGAGCGAGGGAGGCCACGCCTGCAGAAGGAGCCTGGGCGGTGGCAGGTACTCCGGGCGTGTGAGTGTTCGCGAGTCGTTCCCCCCCCCCCCCGAGAACACTGAAATCAGAAATATTGTATGCTCGTAATAAACACAGGTGGAGACAATACAGTGTCCCTCCAGTTCTGCAGACTGAGATTCCTTTCCCTGACCGCAGACACACAAAGGCCGCTTGGCCGGGGGGAAAATCCATGGGCGGGGTCAAACCTTAAAGAAGGAGGTAAACCCGGGTTTCATTCCTCTTGTCTTTCAGTCTGACTGCACTGACTGAACTCCCTAATTGAGTGTAAGCCACGTCGCAACCAAACAATGTTAAACCTGGTTACCAAACATGGGGAAATGTTCAAGCTCACCAGTAATCAGAAAAACACAAATTAAGACAGCTCCCCTCCGCCGCGCCCCCGCCCTGACAAACCATTCCTGGCTCATTTAGGTTAGTAAAAGATTTTTTAAATAACACCCAGCAGCGATTAGAGTGCCAAGAAAATAAGGGTACTTTCAAAGGGGACTGATGGCTATGTAAATGCTTTTGTTAAATCAAACCTCTTGCTCGCTGAAAATTTTGATCAGCTTAAAGACAGGAACAATTACAGAAGATCGAAGAAAAATGTAGATGTACACATCAAAAATCCCTATTGTTCCAAAATGAGACCAAAAATTTGGCTTTGAACTTTCTAGGGGCGGCGCAAAGTTGGAAAATACAGATTGTTCACTGCTGTCTATGAATTGTAAGGGGAAAGCATATAAATTCTGCAAAGAAAACAAAAGTTTTCGAGGTTTTAGATCAGGTGGCTTTTTGTGTGTGTTAGGTGCTTCATATGGGAGAACCTCATATGATGTGAAGGAAAAGGGAGAAAGTCTGCTGGAGTTGAGGTTGCATACCTCTTCGTGCAAATTTCATGTCGCTACTAGCCCCACCTCCTTATTTTTCTATTTCAGTCCCTGTGGGCAGGTATTTGATCCATTAAGCACTATAACACACTGCTTAGGAAAATATTTGAGACCTGAAAAGAAGGCTTATAGCTCTAAAGTATAAAAATCTAAATTAATAATGTTAATTTTCTAAAGAAACTGTACCAGTGAATAACTAAATAGCAGATAAAGTAAATTTTCTTTTTATAAAGTTACATGTTCCAAGTAATAAGTAGCGGATGATAGAATATCACCATTTTGCAATCCCTAGTGAATGCAGAAGTCAACCCATTTTAGCATCCACCACTGCTAGCATCACAAAATAAAAGATGAGACGTGTGTCTTTAGAACATAAAGATGACAATGAAGTAGTCTTGTAGGGGAAAAAATGAACCTGAATTTCATCATACATCTGTATCTAACTACCAAGTTATAGAAAATACAGAGGACAGAAGGAAAAAAATTATAGAGGAACATTTTTTAAAATGCTGCTACAGAGATGCAAACAGAAAAATCCAGACTATGGAAATTCTACAGGATAAACAAGCTTCTTCAAAAAATAAATCGCAAAGGAAAAAAAGAGATTCAGAAGGAATGATCCATAGGTTAAAAAGAGACTTGTGAAAGTTGCGTAACCATTGAATAGTAATGTCTGAACAACTTTGTTAATATATTAAAACCACTGAGGCGTATGTTTGAAAGGGTGAATTTTATGGAATGTGAATTATATCTCATTTTTTAAAATTTAATAATATGGGGAGAAGCGGATGGAGAGCTAGATGAAAGAACATTAACCATAAGCTGAAGATGGGTAATGAGTCCACGAGAACTGTCATTATATTATATTGTTCTGCCTACTTTTGTATGTGTTAGAAGTTCTTCATAATAAAAAGAAAAAAAGAGCCTAGAAAAATGATTGCATTAACCAATCCACTGAAAATCATCTCATGTAGTTTTTATGTATAATCGATTTTTAAATTTCAGAAACAAAATGAAAGATTTGTTCTTAACTAAATTTAAGTATTACATGATTTTAAAACCTTTCCATTTTATCTTTTTTCAGAGCTAAGAAAATTTATTATTTACAACCATAACAATAGCAAAAATATCATCAGGGGTTTTTTTGGTTTTTTAAATATTTTTTTATTTTATTGATATGCCATTACATTTGTTCTATTCCCCCCCTCTGTTCTCCTCCACCCTGCACACCCCTCCCCCACCATTCCCCCCTTTAGTTCATGAACACGTGTCTCAAGTTCTTTAGATTCTATATTTCCCCTACTATTCTTACCCTCCCCCCTATCTATTTTCTATCTACTGTCTATTCCACTTATTTTCTGTACCTTCTCCTCCCTTCTCCTCCTCCCACTCCCCTGTTCATATTTTTTATCTTCTTTTTCTTAGATAAGTCCCTTTAACATTTCCTATAATAAGGGCTTGGTGATGATGAACTCCTTGAATTTGATCTTTTCTGAGAAGCATTTTATCTGTCCTTCCATTCTAAATGAAAGTTTTGCTGGATAGAGCAATCTTGGTTGTAGGTCTTTGGTTTTCATGACTTGGAATACCTCTTTCCAGCCCCTTCTTACCTGTAAGGTCTCTTTTGAGAAATCCGCTGACAGTCTGATGGGAACTCCTTTATAGGTGACTGTCCCCTTATCTCTTGCTGCTTCTAGGATTCTCTCCTTCATTTTAGTCTTGGCTAATATAATTATACTGTGCCTTGGTGTGTTCCTTCTTGGGTCCAACTTCTTTGGGACTCTCTGAGCTTCCTGGATTTCCTGGAAGTCTATTTCCTTTGCCAGAATGGGGAAGTTCTCCTTTATTATTTGTTCAAATAAGTTTTCCACTCGTGGCTGCTCCTTTCCCCCTTCTGGTACCCCTATAATTCGGATGTTGGAGCATCTAAAGATGTCCTGGAGGTTCCTAAGCCTCTCCTCATTTCTTTGAATTCTTGCTTCTTCACATTTTTCTGTTTGGCCATTTTTTGCTTCCTTCTGGTCCACTCCATTGATTTGAGTCCCAGTTTCCTTTCCATCGCTATTGGTTTCCTGTGTATTACCATTCATTTCAATTAGTTTAGCCTTCATATGTTCCTCTCATTTGTGACTAAAATCAACCAATTCTGTGAGCATCCCGATCACCAGTGTTTTGAACTGTGCATCTGATAGTTTGGCTATTTCTTCATCACTTAGGTTTATTGGCTCTGGGGCTCTGAGTTCTTCTTGAGCCATGTTTGGTCTGTTCGCCCTTTAAGTATGAGGAGCAGAACCTTAGGTGTTCACCAGGGCGGGGCCGCCCAGATCTCTTAGGTTGTGACGCTGTATGTGGGGGCGGGGTCAGAGAGGGAGCAATGTCGGTCCTCTCTGCTCACCCAGTCCACCTCACCACTCACCCCCTGCCTCCTGTTTATCTGAGAGCGAATGTGCGAACCTGCCGCCCTGCGCCTCTCGGTCTCAATGCTTGCCTCTTCACTGGTTTATCTGCGCGCAAATGCTGGACCACAGACAGCCAGTCGCGCCCCTTCCCTGTGTCTGCCCGTAGGTAGCCCACACCTGGGATCTTGCCCTCAGATGCCTGTGCACCTCCCGGGTCAGGGGAACTTCCCTGCCCAACCTGCTCCTCTGCTGGCTTCGCCCCTCTCACCGGTTTAGCTGAGCAGGTCATTGTTTTCAGACTCCATATTGTCGATTTTGTGTGGTTTGGTTGCGTTTATTGTTGTTAAAATTTTGTTGTTTTTAGGTTTGGTTGTGCGAGGATGCAAAGTGTTTCCACCTACGCCTCCATCTTGGCGGAAGTCTTAAAACCTTTTTAAAAGGTTAGAGCCAATTTTTTAAAACATAGAATGTGGGTACCCTTTGATGGGTATTGACATGATTTGGAGAGGGACCTTCAAAATAAGTGTAGCCATGGCTGGGTAGCTCAGTTGGTTAGAGTGTATTCCAATACACCACGGTTACAGGTTAGAGCTCCAGGCAGGGCACATGCAAGAAGCAACCAATGAATACATAAATAAGTGGAATAACAAATTGATGTTTGTCTGTCTGTCTGCCTCTCTCTCAAATTAAGAAATCAAAATTGTTTAAAATTTAGTGTATGCACACAATATGTACCTGCTAACGTGATGTAATAGGAAGTACACAATATTGCCCATGAAGTAATAATGCCAACAACATTAACTTGAATCTAATCAAGATTTAAGCTGCAACATCCAATTATAGGAACTTCAAGGGAAAAAAAGAAACAAATTAAATAACATGTGAAACAATCAAAGCCAGGGGGCCAATCTCCACCATATCTGGCCTGGTCTTGTCAATATAAGTCAATGTCATACAAAAACAAAATAGGAAGATGGTAACTCCTAATCAAACAATAGATGTAGGCAACGGCTCCTAGAATAACGAGAAGGAACAAGCAGATGTGTGTCTGCTGGCAGCAGTGCACATGATGGCCTGTGGATTCTTACCATAAGAAATGAATCCGAACAAAGTCAGTCCGTTAGCTTTAACTACTGGTTTACAGGAAATAAGAGAGACAGAAAATATGTTAAATGATATCTTGAGGATGTAACCTCCAAAATATAGTGTGTGGAAAACTATAAAACAGCCTATTTTCTTTAACATTTGATACACACACATTTCAAGGGAAAGAAAGAAGAAAGGGCACCTACAGATTAACAGAGTTTTAAGAGACATTAGTTGAATGTAGTGTTTGGGCCTAGTTTGTGTTTTGATTAGAATGAGCCGACTATGTTTTTAATGAGAAAATTTGGGTTTATATTCAGGATCATTATTAATTTTTTCAAGTATTGTGGATATTTTTAA